ATGATAAAATTTCCCCAGATTTAATAATGATGAAATTGCCAGTATTCTTTTCCCCAGGGTTGGTAGTTTTCAAAACATGGGTTATAAATGACTATTTTATGCACTCACAAGGTCACGATTAATATAGTCCCTCCAGATTTTTTTATAAAAAGGATATCATTAAAGACTCTTGAGCCCTGAATTTGTGCACAGTTTATATTTGTGGATTTGCCATTGCATTGGGATTAATGCTTTAAAGGTCTCATCGTTAAGGTTGTAAATCCCAGGTCCAGATGGCACAGTGTCTGGAGAGAGATTCAATTTCATCCTCATCTGGACAAATGCCTCTACTCAGAGGTGGTCTGTGACTTAAGGGAATGAAACACGCTCATCTGGAAGAAATTCACCCTGAAAAATGAATCTTACATTTATAAAACCAGTCAAACAGTTAATTTATGGCAGATGTTTTACATGCTCGGTGTCACATGCCAGCACTGACCCCAGAGTAGCAGTGGTGGACAGGCCCCTGGGCTGGCTACAAGTGACCTCCCCACTCTAGTTACTTCTGCTTTTCTATCTCTGGAATTTCCCTAGATGCTGGGACCAGGCACAGGGCAGAACTGGGAGGGATTAAATGCCCCAGTAGGCAACCCTCAATTAAAGAGGTTGAGAGTGGACAGAACATGCTACCTATCTACCTTCTGTATCTTTCAGCAGGGCCTTCTTTTTTTTCCCCCCAATTGAGGCAATATTGGCTTAAAACACTGTGTATGACCAACGGGAGTAGGTTCACATGTCCTCAGATGTATGTCACCCCCCAACATCCACCTCCAAGACACCCACAGTCCTTTACCATAGACCACTGGGCTCCCTGCTCCTCTCTGGGCCCCACTCCCACCCTCGTTCCTCATCTAGCAGCCACATTTCTGGGAATTTTTTTCACTTTAGTTGTGTCAGTTCCTTTTTCTTTCTCTATATTTCACATATGAGTGAAATCATCCAGTATTTGTCTTTCTCCCTCTGGCTTATTTCACTTAGCAGCATCCCCTCCAGTCCTGTCCATGTTGTCATAAATGGCAAGAAGTCCTCTTTTTTTGTTTTAGAGTTGAGTAGTATGTCATTGTGTATATATACCGCATCTTCTTCATCCACTACAGAGGGGCAATTCTAAGACACATTCTATGTGATGCCTCAGAGCTACCAGCAAGACGGAATTCTAGAGCCCATAGTGATAAATAAATAAATTATATACCCTGATTGCCTTTGATAACTTCTCCATTTCTGCCTTCCCAATTTCTCATTCTTGCTACCAGGAATTACCTCCCAAATAAAATAAATACATCTTACTCCTTATCTCAAATGCCAGTTCTCATCATAGTACATCAAAATCTGTACTTACAAACAGTAAACAAGTTCAACATCTAGATTATGGGTTAGTCTATAAAATAAATTGAACAAAGAGCTTTGGAAGTGGACTGGCATATTCTTTCAAATTCCTTATACCTGAAAGATATTTTGATGTTTTATTCCTTTAGCTTCTTAATCCTTCACAAATAAAAATTTTGACTGTCTAGTCATAGATTTTCAAAAACAATTCAGCAAGAAGAATGAGGAATAAATACTTGTATTTAAAATCAGAACCAATTGTATAAGAGAAACAAACACCAACCAAATAAGCCCCTTTGGGCTCTTTATCACTTGAAAATCAGTGACACAGCTACACTGAAAACATTACCTGCTTAAAAATCACCTTGCAGGGCTAAGAATGGCCTATTGACATCTGAATCACCACTACATGCTTCTGAGTCAGTTTCTGCTTTGTATATTGACTATTTTGCCCAGAAGATTGCTGCTATCATCAGATAAGACTTAAAAACTAAAATTTAGATGGCAAATGTTAGTTTAACCTATTATTCAAGATGGAATATATTGCTGTCAATATATTCCATGATGATCATTGATTATTCTTGACAGAAATGGGTCCATAGAAGGACATGAAACATCTCAGCACTTCTCTTGATGCTATTTGACTGATGAATAAATTGTTACATTCAAATGATGAGAATTATCTTTGCCAGCTATCCATATATTCATATTATATATGTAAATGTGCAGTATATGTGTATACATATGCATATATATGTAATTGATAATTTATATATAGATTTAACTCATAATACAATAAGTCATTAGCCCTAATGCCTACTTTGCTACTTCATTTATATAAAATTCTAAAATTTAACTTATTAAAAATATATAAGGAAAGTTACTAAACATTGATGAAGTAAAAGTTTGAGTGAGAGAGAGGAACAAAATGAAAGATATTTATGTCCTTTGAGTGATGGCGTATACTCTAGTATTTCTCAGTTCTGATAGGAAAACATATGAGTTGCTTGCTAAGAATTGAAACTGTATCCTATCAAGCTTCAAGGCAAGACGTTCCAGGAATATCTGCCCATCATTCCAAGAATGTAATCCCAAAACGTTAGTCCTGTCTCATGAGTGTCTTAAAAGCACGCAGAGCAGGGCCTCCCTGGTGGCACAGGGGGTTGAGTGCAGCGCTGTGCAGCTGTCCACAGCCTCTGCAGCACGGGTTTGATTCCCAGCTGGCCAGGGAGTGTCCCACATGGCGTGGCAGACCTCTCCTGTCTCGCCCACTGCTCCCCTCAGCAGTGTATTTCGGTCCGTCTGCCTGTTCTGTTCCCCATTCTGTCTCTGGTGAATTCTCTCACCCTCTCACACCTCTGGCCTGTACCCCAGTGCTTGTATAAATACATAAATCTTAAAAAAAAAAAAAGCAAGCAAAGCATAGTGATTAAAAGCCAGTGCTTGAGAGTAATGCAAACCCAGGCATTCTGCTTATTAAGAATTTTAGGTAAATTATTTAATTCTCCGAGATTTAGTATCCTTAGATAAAATAGGATTTATAGTATCTATCTGATGGGATTATTGGGAGAATTAAATGAGTTAAAACCCTCAACATGTTTATGAAATGATTGTCAATAGCAAGTATCAAAGAAAGAACATCCAAACTAAAAATGGACAAAAGACTTAACAATATAAATGTATGCACCATCATTAGTTTTAGAGAAATGAAAAGTTAAACAGTGAGATACCACTAATACCTACTGGACTGTCTAATTTTAAGAAAAGACTTGACCTTACTAAATGTTGGTGAAAGTGTAGAGCATCTAGAACTTTCGAAGACTCCCGATTAAACTATCAAATGGTGCAACAACCTTGGAAAATAATTTGGAGGTTTCTTGAAATGTTAAACATACACCCATTCCATTCTTGAGATTTTACCCAAGAGAATTGAATGTTTTCATGTAAAAACATCAAATGTCATACCTTAAATGTTTTCAGTTAGCATATGTCAAGTATATCTTTTATAACGTAAATATGGCTTAATATTAACCATTTTATTAGCAAATATTAGCATAGTGGCACAGAAAAACTATTAAAGTGTTTCATTAGGTGGTACTTATGGACCTTCATCAAATTCTACATGCTACCTAAAACTATGTACCTTGTATAAGTGAGTACATACCATCTGCATCATCCAAAACAAGCATTTAGACAGAAAAATGCAGTCAAAGGACACCAGGATAAAGGGTAAGACTTTGATAGAATGCAAAATATATAATACAGAATTCTTGAGCTCAATTCTAGTATTACATGCCCTGAAGTGCAAAATGAAAGAATATAAATAGCAAAATAAAACAAAACAAGACACTAGACAGATTAGTTTTCTTCATGGCTTAATCCTCTATTCAAAGAGGACAAATTAGTCTGGGAAAATTAACCTCAGGGTCTGTAAATTCTTAGATTTGACTGTGCTCTTGAGTTTTCAGAATATTGCACTTGGGATGATGACTATGATCAACCTCATCCAAAAAATGAGGCATTAAGTGCCTATTTCTGTGGAGTGCACAAAGCACAGAGAGCATGCTGAGCTCTGCACGCAATTATCCCCATCCTAAGGGATTGACTGAGGACACGTTCAAAGTCAAAATTGTCTTGTCAATGAAGCACTCAGCCATAGATCTGTGGAAGTGACTTATCTTTTCCCTGGCACCATTAGGTCAGTGTGGGGCATCAGTTTTTACTCAGATTTACTGATTTTTGACAAAGCGATGTGTTTATGTGCATTTGATCAGGGTCTGCCTTTATTTTAACAATTTTCCCTTCTGCTCGGGCTTTTAACTCCATGTGCAAATAGTGTTTCCAACCAGCTTTGTGTGTTCTATGATAATTGAGAGGAGTCGCTGATAAAACTAAGGTAAACTCAAGGAATTTTAGAAAATCTATAGATGGAACATCATCAGGACATTTCTCCTATGAAACAACTTTGGGGCCATTCAGCTCTGTCTCTGGGAGTGTCCCAACAAGACTGAGCCTCCTTTGCCCACAGTCACTCCTTCCCTTCTCTGACTCACTCCTTTTCCATTCAGGGGTTAGTAGAGATCATCTCCCATATAAATGAAATACAGTCAAATCATTTTCTCAGGACTCTGAGAACCTAACCAGAGAGACCCATCAGGAAAGGCTCTGGCCTAGGGAAGACTATGGCCTTGACACTTGAAAGTCTCAGCTTGTCATTTCCTCGATGAATTGATAAAGTCATTCTGGAATTCAGTCATACAGTTAGAAAATCCAGACTTTGCAGATAATTGACATTTTCAGTATTTTACTGTTAAATTTATCTTAACTAAGTCATGACTGATGATTCCATGCCAGAAATTCAATGAGTAAATTTATAGTAGGGTGGAGTTTGTTCTGGGAATCCACGTGTTTTTCTTTTCTCTCAATAGTGCCCCCAACAAGGTGCTTGAAGCTCAGTAAATAATCCAAGTGGCTAGGTTGGCAGTGAATCAAAACAAAAGGAAATGAATGTTTGCAGAGCTATTTATCCAGGCCATAGTGAGGTCACGTGGACCTCCTCTGTCCCCTGGTCAATGGCCAGAATTTTTGAGCCCAGCTTTCCTTCAGAGTTATTTCTTTTCACATTTCTTTTCCAGATGGAATGAGCAATCTACCAGCGAGTTTCCTGGGATACAGTCTCCCTTCCTGGTTGGGTGCCCTTGATTTTCACTCCTAGAGGACAAACTTCTTTCCAGGTATTGAGTGGACCCCTTATTATTGCCTACAATAGATTTTTTAAAAAATTGTATACTTCACTCTCTTCCAAAACAACTTAAGGTAGCTCTCTGTCATGCATAAAATGCCACAAGAGAATATAAATTAGAAGGTCAGGGGAAAACAGGAAAATGTCACAAAGCAAAGCTAGAAATGAAATTCAAATCAACACTCAGGCCATCTTAACGCTAAGCTTTCTTAACACTGTAAAGGAGTAAATCTACAAATGAAACCCACTGATGGGAGTCCCAGTAGTCACGGCTCCTTGATACAAATGTTTATTCTCTATCTGGGATGCCAGGTCTTTGGCTCATCCTCATCCACACAGGAGCCACCATCAAATTAAAGGGAGCACATGGTCAAAGGACGGAGGAGTTTTCTTAGCATCTGGAATCACACCAGCAAGAAGCAAAGCTGCTGTTGCTCCTTCCCTCCCCCAGAACCCTCCCACCAATAAGAAATGAAGTCAGAGAGGTGCTGGGAAATAAGTAGACTTCATATTATCTGTGCATTTTCAAAGGCTTCCACCTCTAACAAACAGGAACTGAAGCCCTTTGTTTTTTTTTTTAAAGAATAAAGCTGAAAATATGAATGGCTTTGCTGTTACTCATATTAATTCAGGTACTGCCGTCTCCTCTCTCCCCCCACCCTATCCCCTTCCCCATTTCTTTTTGTGCTGACAATTTCCAGAGCTTTTCTCTTTGATTTTCTTATAATGAAATTCACCAAGGGGAGTGCAGAGAGATTTTTAAGGGGAATTGTAAGCTTGACAGACTATGGCCCTTTAAACTATTTTAATTAAGTCTTAAATGCTTTGCTAGAACACAGCACACCAGCAATAACAAAGAAACAAAAGAAGGGCCTCTGCTTTACAGTGAGCAAAATAGATAAAATGAAGTAACACCATTCTGTCCAACACAAATCTTCCTCCTTTTATTTCTCAGTCTGTCCCCCTAATGGTCATGTCCTGGGTATATTTTTTGTTATGTGGCCTATGACAGAGCTGTCCAAAAAGCAGACTCTTCTAGTCTCATCTCTGAGATAGGAAGTCTTTGCAAGCTGAAATGCTGTCTCCTGCTTTTCTTTGTTGTTAGAAAAGATAACTGCTTTTCAGAGATGCCTAGAAATCTTACCTTGCAGTCCAAGCAGAAAGCTTCCTGGCTCCATTTGTTTCTGCCAGTCTGTTCTCAGGCTGCAGTGACCAGAGGCCAAGAGGGGCTGCTCTCTGACATTTCATCGTAACCATTGTTCTGTGCAAGCAGCAATTATTAAGACTGTTCAGTCTTAATATGAAAAAAATGAAAATCAGGAAAAAAAGGAGTGAATTCTACTCTGAATGATTTCTTTAAAAGTATCCAGGCCATTTTGAGGGAGTTGGACCTAGAAAGGTGTTTCTTTAATAAGCCTCAGTTTTCTGAATTAAGTCTCGGTTTTCACATCTCTCCCCTGGTGGTAAGGCCAGTACCTACCACATAAGGCTAGTAGGAGAATTAAAAGAAGAAATAAGCTTAAAGTACTTTGCATAATGCCTGACACATAATAGAATTCACTTAACTGGTAATGTTTATTAATAGTGTTTTCTCTTTTTTTAATGTACAATTGTCAGCAAACAATTCTTTTTTTTTTCCCTCCACCAAACCACCTGTGCCCATACACCATCCTTTCCACCCTTTTCTTATTCTTTTAAGATCATATATTAAGCATATATTCTATGTGATGTCTGAAATAAACACTTTTTTGATACAATTATCCTCATTAGAACTGTGAAAAATGGGTTCTATGAAGCTTGCTTTTTTTTCTGATTACAGTGTAATACATACTCTTTGTAGAAAACTTTGAAAAATGTACAAAAACATACAAATGATCCCAGTATCCAGAATTAATCATTCTTAATCTTTTAGCATGTTTGTCTCAATTATTAAAATATAAATACTGCAAAATTGGATGCCCACTGCAAAGAAACATTAGTTCCTATATTTATTGACACCTGTACCACAGATGAATAACTCAAAGAGCTAGATCAGAACTCTAGCACGGAACAATACATCTGTAAAAAAATTACAGGACAAAGGAAAGTGGTTTAATTTTCCAAGGGTGGGAAAGTAAACATAGTGGAAGAAAATGATGGAGTATGGTTTGTCTGTAGATTCCTTTAATGCCATTTCCAGTAAAACACACTTTCTATCCTGTCTTTAGGCAGAAAATGGGGGAGGGTGGAAGTGAGAAGAAGCTTTTCTTATTTATTAATGGTCTTCAACTCAAATTAGTTTTTATGTCAAAAAGGCATATTTGGGGGTGACAGTCTGATTTCCTTCAGCTCCTACTTGTCATAGCCCGGAACTGTCAGGAGTTAAAGCCCAGTAGTAGCCCTCCTGGGTGGGATGGGAGTTGATGACTTGGTACCTGAGCCTCCTCACCCCCTAGTGGACAATCCCAGGTGTGCTGCTCCCAATCCTCTGGAGGATTCTGGCGGGACTGAGCCCCTCTCTATCCTGTGAGGTATCCTGCTCATTCATGCATCCTTTATTTCTACCTGTCCCCCCTTCTTCCTCCCTCTCTCCTTTACCGTGCCTTCCAAATACGCCACATGAAGAAAAATCTTTGCTTTAGCACCTCCTTTGGTGGGTACTCAAACTATGACAATTGCAGAAACACCCTGATTTTGCCTCCTGCACAGTTGCTTGGTGACCTGGCCTCTGGGCTGTTCTGTTGTTTATCATGGTGTGATTCTTGCAGAGGAAACTTCATGGTGATCATAACACTTTCAACAGTGATAGCTTTCATGCCTATACGCTTCATGGCTTAGAAAATTCTTTTGGATGTTGTTTCATCTTTTACTTTTAGTCTTCAAGAAAATTTGTTAGATGAGCAAGTCAGTTCCTATCAGGCCCATTTTATAGCTCAGGTAAAATTGTCCCAGACAGATTGGTTCAGAGTCTAAAGGAGATAATGGCTACTTTCTATAAACTCCTGTTGGATTCCATTACATACAGATTCTCTGCTAAGTACTCCTAGATTGCTCCATATTTCACAGTCTGGAATAATCAAGAGCTGTGGTTGATTGGCAGTTGGCAAAAAAAAAAATTAATAATAATTAGGTCATTAAAAATAAATAAGATGGTTAAAATCTTTCATACTGTTAAATTTCAATGTTTTCACATGAATTTAATAAATTAGTAACACAGTTTAAATAGCAAGGAACTTAACCTTATCTGCTAAAAAATGAATAAAATATGAAAAATGAAAGGTCACAAAAGGTAACTGTCTCTGTCCTTTTTGTGCACTTATTTTCTGCCTTACAAAATGCCCTGTTAGAGCTAATTGGTCAATATTAGAAAATGTGCAGAAAAATCTTCTTTCTTTGTGGAAGATTTTGAATTGATAGCATAAGATGGAGTTCCTTTGAGCAAAAGCTTGAGGTTTTAATTTCATTTAAACTTTATAGGAGGAATATACACATATAAAGAACTACACAAATATCTTTTTCACACACAGAGCTTGCTAATGGTCTCCTCTCCTCTTAAGGCTCTTCTGTAGCTCCTTTTTCCTAGGTTCTGAATCTTAGAAAATCCATCTCTCCTGTGGCTTCTACTACCCTCCTTCTGGATCCTAATCTAAAAATCAGATCACTATTTTATTCAAACTCTAACCTCTTATCTTCAGCTACCAACTGGGAATTGTTATTTAAGTGTCCTAGAATAACTTCAAACTCAAAGTGTTTAAAACTAAATGTTCTGGTTCCTCTCCAGCATCACTCTCTCTGTCTATATCTGTGTTCACACTAGAAATCTTGCATCTTTTTTGACTCATTTTCTTCTTTGTTCTCCATTCCCAAAGACCACTCTTACCATTTCCCCCGTTCAAAATGGAATTTCATTCTCACAAAGGGATCACATCTGCTTGGATTACACTAACTTTTTCCCTCAGGCCACTCAACCTACCTCTTTTCTCTGCTTGTGTTGCTCCTCAGCGTACCACTGGAACATTCCTCTATACCAAACCCCCTACTGACTCCTTTTAACAACTGTAATTCCTTTGCTGGATTCTCAGGACCTTCCTAATAAATCCCCATTTTGGCCCAACTCTATGCTTTTATGATATGCACACTTTATTTCAGTAGTCCCAGAGACTACTGACCTTTCAGCTCACAATTTTTTTCATTAATTTACATGGGGGCACAAGACAAAAGCTCTCTGATAACAGAACTTAGTTCACAGTCTCTGCTCACTTAAGTGCCTGTTAGTGTTATAAGCACAACAGAAGTTCAACAATTTATTGACTCAAGTTTAAAAGCTAAAACCCCATTTTTGAGAGTAGGGAGGGAGTACATATTGCTGGTGTGATAAATATATTTTGCCAGTCTCCTAGTATGTAGGATAAGTTTTAATATATATGAATTATATACACTCACTCTTTGTGCTTTGATTCTTGTGATTATTCTAGCAGATGCATTGTCTCAGGACTACTAGACTGAGATGGACTGATAGTCCACTCTGGAGGGAGAAACACATCTCTGCCAATGTCAAAGTTATGGCATCCTGAGCACACAAAGTCCAGGTTATACTGGATACATGCAGGGTCTAGAGGGTTAGTTTCCTAGTCTCTGCTCAAATTCAGTTGACTTCATCTGAAGTTGCTGGTGAAAACTTGACAAAGAACAGGAAATTCAATGTTGTCCCTATGGAGGAGTGGTACTTTCTACCCACTCAACAGAAATCTCATCCTCTTTTACCAAGCACTCTTCTCTTGACTACACAAGAAAGGGAAAATTCATGCTATATTAGAAAGAGGAAAATACTTCAAGGTCCATGCATTTTACCCAAATTCATCTTCTTCACAGCTGTGTAATATTTCATTGAGTATATGTTCCACAATTTCTCTATCCATTCATTTGTCGTAGGGCGCTTAGGTTGGTTCCATGACTTGGCAGTTGTGAATAGCACTACTATGTACATAAGCATAGATAAACCTTTCTGTATTA